GCGAAGGGCTTTACTCAAACTCCCGCAGTTGACTATGATGAGACCTTCTCACCAGTAGCGAAGATTAAATCTATAAGGGTTATGCTAGCCATAGTTGCATTTCATGATTATGAAATATGGCACATGGATGTCAAAACCGCTTTCCATAATGGAAAGTTGGCTGAGGATGTTTACATGAGTCAGCCAGAGGGTTTTGTCGATGCGAAGCACCCTAATAGAATGTGTAAGCTTGAGAAATCCATCTATGGATTAAAACAAGCATCTCGCAGATGGAATCTTTGTTTCGATGAGAAAGTCAAAGAGTTTGGTTTTTCGAGAAGCGAGGATGAGTCCTGTGTATATGTCAAGGCCAGTGGGAGTATAGTTAGTTTTCTCGTATTGTATGTGGATGACATACTGCTCATAGGAAACGACATCCCAACCTTGCAGGAGTTGAGAAATAGGAGTAAGAGACTAATAGGACTTAGTCAAAGTACTTACATGGATAAAGTGTTGAAACGTTTTAGCATGGAGAATTCCAAGAAAGGGGAATTACCAATCCAAAGCAATACCAAGTTGAGTAAGACTCAAAGTCCGAGTACCGAAGCTGAGATAGCAGAAATGAGTCGAGTACCTTATGCTTCTGCTGTTGGCTCGATCATGTATGCTATGACGTGTACTAGCCCTGATGTGGCCTTCGCTTTGAGCATGGTCAACAAATATCAAGGGAATCCTGGTAGAGCTCATTGGACTGCGGTAAAGAACATTCTTAAGTACCTGCGGAGGACTAAGGACTGGGTTCTTATCCTCGGTGGGAGTGATGAATTGAGAGTGCGAGGGTATAGTGACGCCAGTTTTCAAACCGAACGAGTTAATTTCCTATCTCAGTTGGGCTGGGTATTTACCCTGAATGGAGGACTAGTGACCTGGAAAAGTTCCAAGCAGGAGACCGTAGCTGATTCAATGTGCGAATCAGAGTAGATAGCAGTACGCGAAGCGTCGAAGGAGGCAATATGGCTAAAGAACTTTATTGGAGAGCTTGGAGTTGTACCTGCCATAAAGGAGCCTATGGAGATTTTCTGTGATAATGAAGGTGCGATTGCCTTAACCAAGGAACCGATGGATCATGGCAGATCCAGGCATATCAACAGAAAATACCACTTCATCAGACATTGAGTAGAAGAGGGACTCCTTGTAGTGAAGAGGGTATTATCAGAGGAGAACCCAGCAGATCCCCTTACGAAGGGGCTGAGTAGGGTTAAGCACTTGCAGCATGTTAGGAGTATTAGGCTGAAGGACGATATCAGTTTTAGTGATTAGATATATTTTAGAAACTTGTAATAGATAAAATGTAATTGACATTTGATGATTAAATAAAAGAGTTTTATTTATAAGTAATGTTATTGTATTGTGTCAATTGTTTACTATTGTTTCATTTTGCATGTTTTGACTTCCAGAATAATATGATTATTCAAACCATCCACAGTCGATCATACTTCGGAAGTAGGTATTGAGGCAAGACTGTCATGAATTAGCTTGTAGATTGTCTAAGCGTTTAGACATAGCAAAAGTTTGCTGCAATGTTCATGAGTGCTCCTGAAATAAGATTTGAGTATTGGATTAAACTCACGCTCACGTGAATCACTTCATGGAATTAATCACGAGTGATTGTGAGACAATAATATCGTATAGTCTTTAAACCGAGATATATGAGTTGTTGTTTACGAGTTGTTTGTGCATTGATAATGCGTAAATGCATCAGTAACTTGATGTAATAAAACGTATTGTTGTGTACGATTTAATGAGTAAATAGTACAAGCATATGAGAAAAGTTTGTCTGTTCCTTTTATCCTAAGAGGATTAAAAGCGATATCTTGGGCCCGTCGATGATTTTGTTTTGACTTATGTGTTGGGCCCGGTCCGGACTAAATTGATGTGTTCAATTAAGTTCTATGTCAGACAAGTCAGAAATTGGGAAACAAACTGTTGGACAATAAGTATGACTATGTTCCATGTATTTGTCCACATGATATCTTGAGAACGGAGGAATGCATGATCCCTTATCTATAGGACGTGTCAGAGTTCGACAGCTGCTTTTAAGAGCTACGATTGCTAATCGGATTTAGAAGTCGTACTTGCATTTATAGTTATTAGACTTATCCAAGTGGGAGACTGTTGGATTAGGTGTCTAAGCCCGTAACTATATTTGGTATGTACTTGACCCGATAGTAGCATGGTCCTTTTGGGTTGCCTTCACCATAACAACTTGACTGGATGAATTATAGAGGAATAGGTTAATTATGATTTATTAATATATTATAGGAATAATATATTAAAAGAGAAATCATATTATTTAACTAATATTGGTCAAGAATTAATTAAGAGTTAATTTGGTGATCAAGGGAGATTAATTAAATTAAGGGGACTGATATTGTAATTATAAGATAATTGCAAAATGGGTTGTGGATCCCTAAGTTAAGGGATGGACGAAATTCTTGTGGAAGCCCACATAGAATTCGTCCATAGGGTGTTCTGGAAGGATCCTATGGGTTGCTTAAGGCCTAAGCAACCGGATTAGGTATTTGATTGAAATCGTAATACCTCAGCTATATAAGGAACCCTTGGGGCATCATATTTTCGGCCACTTGAAATCCTAAGAAGAGTTCTAGCCGAAAATTAGTATCCCTAGCCTCTCTCTCATATTCCTCCAACTTGCTCTTGGTGTTTGTGATCGATTACAGGTATTACACTTGTGATACTAAAGCTCTAAAAGATTAAAGATCAAGCTACTATTGAAAGGTAACATCCTAACTTTGTTTTAGTTATGATTTTTGATTTTATATGCTAGACATAGGGTTTATAAGCTTTGGATGATTATTACATGTACAATTAGAAAAACTAGATCCAAAGCTTTAGGTTTTGCATGTGCACCATAGGATTGTTGCTATGCTCAAAACCCATCAGGATCACCACGGTGTGACGAGGCATTTTTGGCCGTGGGTCTATTTTGACTCGTCACGACATGGCAAGTAAAGGTGATGGCATGGCTGCCACTGATGTGTTAAATCCTAATTTTATGGGTTTTACACCCTATTTAAAGGAATGAGGAGACTAGGGTTTCCTTACCCTCAACCTCCATCACCCTCTTTAGCTCTGAAGAAACCTTAATTGAAGCTTTCTTGAGTGCTTTTAAGAGATCTTAAAGGAAGAAACAAGAAGGAGTAAGCCAATGATCATCAAGAAAGTCCCTATTTCTCTTCCTTGCTCGATTCTGAACCCTTGTAAGTTTTCAAGGCTCCACCTTTATGTTACTAGGTTCATAGATCTTGATTTTTGTCCTATTTTCTTCTTGATCTCATTGGTTGGGATGGTGAGATTTCATAAAGGTTTCCACTTTATGAATCTTTGGATCATTTTGAGTAATTCATGGTTTGGATCTGAGGTATGGTGGATTGATTGAACCATGCATGAGGATTTTTGTCATAATCCTCATTTTTGACCTAATATGAACCCAAAACATGCAGTGGACATGCATGTCTTAAAGCACTAACCTTTAAGCAGGTTTTAGTGTTAGAAGCCCTTCTGGAATCAATGGGTTAAGGACTTAAGTGATTAAGTGCTTATTAGATGAGCCCATGTCATGTTTTTGCCTTTTTGGACCTAAGACTTGAGCTCTTGACCTCTTGGAGAGTCTTAAGGGATAAAGTGGGAGACTCTATTCATCTACACAATAAAAATAATCAAATCTGGACTTTGGAACCTTTGGGATCGGAGGATTCGACTTAACCCATTAAGATGTTTTGAATCCAGTGCCCACGGCGTGGCGACTGGGGTAAACTGTGTGTGTCGTTTGAGGTCCATGACGTGGCCAAGGATGGACACGACGTGGCGAGTCAAATTTGACGATTGACTTCAAGCGTTGACTTTTGGTTTGCGTTGACTTTTGGTCAAAACCTTAGTCTTCGAAGGTAAGCTAAGGGTGTAATTTGTATGGCTATATAGATGGTATATATCATCTGTACTCTCGGCATTAAGAGCGGTAACAGTTGATCATGCTTTGATAGGTGAGTCTTCTCACTGTACTTGTGGACCATTGGATTTTGTAGGATGCAAATTGTCTTTGTGATACTTGCATGGAAGACCCGAGGGTTAGCCTGTAACATTTGTATGAAAGATCATGGGAGTAGCCCACGAAAATTACATGAAAGACCATGGGGAGTAGCAAATGACACTTGGATGCTAGACCATGGGGTAGCCCATGACATTTCAAGGAAAGAGCATGGGGGTAGCCCATGACACTTGGTTGTAAGACCCTAGGGGTAGTCCATGGCATTCCATGGAAAAGACCATGGGGGTAGCCCATGACAATTGTATGTATGGTATGTGGTATTTTGGGGAAACTTACTAAACTTTGTGCTTACAGTTTTTGTGGTTTAATATTTCAGGTACTTCCATTTTGAAAAGGAAGGGCTCGACGTGATCACACAACGTTCCTATCAGGATTCCACATTTATGACTATTTTTACTCTGACGATTTGATATACTGTATCGTGGTTGATTTTGAAACATTGATGTATGAAAATAATGGTTTTCTTTAAAATAAAATTTTTTATCTCTTTTTTCGGGATGTTACAAACAGCAGTCTTTATATGTTTTAGAGATTCATGACAATATTTTCTAAAGTTGTCAAGTTTAGTGCCTACTCCACTCCGCCGCTTCCGATTATTAAAATAGATTGACGTTGTGGTCAAGTAGTATGACGTTGAAGTGTTGATTGTTTCAAATAGATATTGTTTAAGATAGATAAATTATCATGAACCACATTTACTTGGATGTTGCTTATTATAATTTTCATAAAGGTAAACTAGTGATATATAGATTTCTTGGTTATTAGGATCTTTTTTTTTGTAATGGGCTCTTACGTTTGCCACATTATGGTTGCTATGTATTGGATTTGCATATCACATAACGCTTATGTGTTAGAGCAGTGTGAGTCAACTCAAGAATTTCCAGGAGAATAACCCTGACATAAATATATTCTTTTTGTAAATTATCATGTATATGGAAAATTTTCTAGTCTTCCATGATTGATATACATACACACACATACACACCTATACGAATACAATAATACATGAACAAACACAAGTGAGATGTACTAATGAAAGTCCATACATCAACAAAATGGATATGTAAAGATGAAGATCATGTAATACTTTAGACACCACAATAAGTCTTGAGAGCAGATTGGGCTCGTTGGCCAGCCTCAGTGTAGTAAAACTGAAGGAACTCAACATGATCAAATGGTTTGAAGAGTAATGGGTGTTCATCATCTACAACCTCCTTTGGGGATTTTACCACATACCCAGCCTTTGGTATCGAAAACAACCCAAGAGAATACCTCGCTTTGTCTCCACTCATCATCACCCGATGATAAGGTGAATGCAATCGTCCATTCGTCCATGCCTACAATCATAAATATCCAAAGGTTCATCAATATTTCCAAAATTGTAGTTTTCCTTGTGGAAAAAATGAAAGTGTAAGTCCGTCATGTACTTTTGCGACAGATTTATTTGTTTCCAAATCCATTTAAAAGATATGTGTCGCTAAAAACTTACATAGAGTGAATCACCAATCATTACAATGAAAGAATTGGGTGAAGGTTGAATCTTGATCCAATCTCCGGATTTTGCTTGCACTTCTAATCCATCGATTTGATTTTGATGTAAAATCGTGACAATGTTCTTGTCGGTATGAGAATTGAGTCCTAGTTTGGACTCGTTTGTTTCGGGTCCTTTGTATTTCATGACTCGAAGCAAATAATTTGTTGAATCCATGTGTTCCTTCACATACTTTTCTAATCCCAAGCTCTCCAACACCATCATCCTCACCATTTGATCAAGTTTGGATAGCTTCTCCGAAAACTCTTGTATAGTCTTGCTAATAAAACATAAGATGTAAGTAAAAGACCATAAAACGATATTTAAAGTGAAAAATAGTGCTCTTATATTAATAAATAAATAAAAAAAATTACACATGGTTTGTGTAAACAAAATAAGTAAATTAGGTGGTACCAAAATTCGGTGTTGCCTTTGGGCCACAACATTTTGGTGAAGCTTTCTACTTTCTCAAGAATAGGTGCATCGTCAATGCCCATGCTCTCATAGAGTGGCACCATTGGGTACTGACCTACGTAGCCATGAAAGGGCTTTGAAGACTTGTTTTTGATTTTGGTTTGTAAAGGGAGATCAAAAAGTAATTTTAATGAATCAAAAATGGACGTTTGGAGCTCCGGTGGGATGCTGGCGTAGGTTGTTTCGAAGCAACCAAATTCTTCAAGGGCTCTATGGACTTGGGATTTTGTTAAATCCCAGTTCGTGTTTTGGTCAATATTTGAGAAATCCACAAAAGGGAGTTTAAGTTCTGAACCCATATTTGCTAGGTAGGAACACTTAGAAGTGCCTCAACAACTCCAAACTTTATATTCGAAGTCGTGGTTTCTAGACGACACAATTTATCAATAATTTATCCATAAACGTCGTCCTTTTAATTTGTGGTTGATTTTGACACAAAATTAGTTAATATCTCATTATCATCAAATTATTATTTGTATAATAATTATTGCCTGTTTATTTCATAAATTTTATGTAAGATTGTTTGCATATGTTTTTGCTTATCTAAATGCATTGAATATCATTTAATAATAATTATACAAAAAGTTTTTTGGGCTGCAGAGATCTTAATAACTCATTGTAATTAAAAGAGATAAACTATACAATCAATTGAAATAATGTCGACTCACATGCACATTTTTTTTAACACGTATATATGTAAAAAAGAAAAAAAAAAAACGTAAGTTTTATAACATAATGGTGACAATGAGAGGTTAAAGTTATTTTTCTATAGATTTGTTTAATTAATGTCTCGCTTTTTCTATCGTTTCACTTTGAGAGCTGATCTTTCCACAGCCACCACTGAAAGTATGGGTTAATATCTTAAAGTCATTATTTATATATATCATGGTTTTGATTTAACCCCAACTTTATTTTGTGTTCTTTATTTGTCATTATATCTTAGAAAACGTTTCATTTTTGGATCCTTAACCGGTCACCAACATGTCATGATGACGTGTGGGTTTTGCATTTTCCTAAGTTTGCATTTAGCCCCAACATTTAGGTATAAGTTTGTGTTTAGCCGCAACATTATTTTGTTCCCCATTTGCCATTGTTTTTTTGAAAAAATTTCGTTTTACCCCATGGTCAGTCATGAATAGGTATTTTAAAACGTAATAACTTAAAATGAAAAAGGAAAAAACACAGATAAGAATCGAAACCGTGACTTCTCCTTGAGGACGAGACGTGTTACCTAGTAAGCCAATGACTTTTTTTTTTATTATCAGTGTTTGTTGTATTTAATCTACACATGTATTTTAAAATGATGGAAAAATACCTATTGTAAGTCTTGAGTCCGTCACATCTAATAAACAATATGACATGCTAATCTTTGAGCTAATCAAAATTATTAATTCATTTGTAACTCATCTAAAATACAATTAGTTATTTTTACTGACATATTTGTTAAGAAACCATATATTTTTAAAGAGTTGAAAATGTGTCTTCTCTTTAAGGGATAAGGTGTGTTGGCTGGTAAATTAATGGTTCTTTTTTTTGTATTATCAATGTTTGTTGTATTTAATGTACACATATATTTTAAAATGAAGAAAAAAGACTTAGTGTACGTCTAGAGTCTGTGACATTTAATAAACAATATGACATGCTAATCTTTGAGACTATCAAAATTGTTAATTCATTCGTAACTCCTCTAAAAAGCAACTCATTATTTCTAATGACATATTTGTTAGGAAACCAAATATTTCTAATGATATTTGTAGAGAAACCAAAGAAATGAAAATAACTATTAATGACTGGCCAATGACTAAAATGAAATTTTTTTCTAAAAAACAATGCCAAATGAGGAACAAAAAAAAGTTGGGGTTAAATGCAAACTTATACGTAAATGTTGAGGCTAAATGCAAACTGAGGATAACGCAAAACCGACACGTCATCATGACTTGTTGGTGACCGGTCAAGGGCCCGAAAATGAAACATTTTCCAAAATATAATAGTAAATGAAGAACAAAAAATAAAGTTGAGGTTAAATCAAAACCATAATATATAAATAATGGCTTTTAAGGTATTGACCATGTATCGGCAATATTGCCCTTTATTTTAATTCCTTAGACATTTACACAAGAGAAAGATCTCATAAATATGTTTCCAAAATACAGGCTCTTTTAGCAAATTGTGGTAGTTTTAAAATTATTTACATAAAGATAATACAAAAAGTTTTTATACGCCATATGATTATAATCATGGTTCTAAAAAACGCGTCATGGCGTGCCTCAAGGCGTGTCATGGCGCGAGGTGTGATGTAGCCGTTACGAAAACGTCTAAGGCGAGTTTGTTAAGCGTGGCGCGCAAATAACGTGTCAAGGCGCGCCTTATCGTGATATGGCACGAGTTTTTTTCATGGCGCAAATTTTTTTTGTTTTTTTTTTGATTTTTTTTATCGGGCCTAAAATAATTGAGTTTTTGTTAACTTTTTATATTAAATACTAATATAACACTTCTAAAAACTTGCTATACTTGATAAAAATCAATGATTATATGACTTATCTTTTTTAATATATATATAAAAAGTCACGCCTTGAAAAACGTCATGGCTCGTCAAGGCTTGTCATGACTTAACTTTTACCTTGCTGCCAAGCCTCGCCTCACATTGTTTAGAACCTTGATTATAATATATATATATATATATATATATATATATATATATATATATATATATATATACCCGATCTTTATTATTACATGTTTGATCGCCGGAAACACAAACCATTCGTATCAAATATCAACAACTATTGGTAGGAGCTCGCCTGTCATCCAACGGTTTGTCACCCATGGTTATCATATTGTTCTAGTTTCTTTAGAAGTTTTATGGTTATCATGACTGGTTCAATAGTTCAGATCACCAAATATAGAGAGAGCCGAAGTTAGAAATAGGCTGGGGAATCTTAAAGTAACCGATTTTATTTTAATCAATAATAAACTGGTTCAATCCAAAAAAATTACAAAAGTTGTCCCTGTGGTTTGCCAAAAGTCACAAAGTATGTCCCTATTAATTTTTTTTGATGTATATGGTCCTTGTGGTTTACAAAACTTGCACAGATGACCCTTTTTACTAACGTCGTTAGTATTCAGCCGTTAGGGATTGAATTTGTAAGGATATTTTAGCCTTTTTAAGTATAAATGGACTGAATTCGTGAAATTTAGTAAACCACAAGGATCATTTTTGAAGTTTGTATGAAAAAATGAACTAATCGGCTCAAGGAAGGGGCCAGAGGGCTCAAACTCGTGACCTCCACTCATTTATATTACAAAAGTCTTAACCAATTGAGCAGAATGTTCACTTGGTTATTCGTTCCTAAAACTAATTTATATAATAACGAAAATGTTAATACATAAACAATAAATAAATTACAAAAAAATATTTTTTTACATAATTATTTTTAAATAAAACAAAATATATTTTAGTCATATTATAAAAAAAATAGTTTTTTACAAACAATTTGTATGTATTTTTATGTATTTATTTTACGTAAAAAAATTATGTCTTTCAAAAATTCGTTTTCATATAATATGTTATTACGTTGTATTGGAAGACAAAATCGACCGAATATGTCTTTGTTTTGGTCCAATCGGTTTTTGAAATCGGTTATATGTATTTAAAAAAACATAAAATACCTATTCGTTTAAATATCTTATTTAAAATAGGTATTTCATCTTAATCGCAAGTTCTAAATCGTATGGTTAAAATGAAGATAAAAATAAATAGTGATATATCTTTTTGAAATAACGATAATTAATACTACTATTGACATAAAAAAAGGTATAAATTATTTAGATACAAAACGAAATCGTTGTTAAATTGTTTTTAATACATATAACCGAAAAAACGGTTTTAGAACTAGCGAGCCAAAAAAAAAATTTATATTTTTTATGTCATGAGTAGTGTTAATTATTATTATTTCAAATACATAAAACATTGTATTTTACGAAAATATATTTTTATACGAAAATGTATTTTTTAAAGACATAAAAAAATATATTTTATGTAAAATAAATACATACAAATTGTTTGTAAAAAACTATTTTTTTTATAATACGACTAAAATACATTTCAAAAAATTATGTACAAAAAATGTTTTTTGTAATTAATTTTTTGTTTGTGTATTAACATTTTTGTTATTATATAAATAAGTTTTAGGAAGGTATAACCAAGTGAGCATTCAGCTCAATTGGTTAAAGCTTTTGTAATATAATGGTGTTGAGGTCGAGAGTTTGAGCCCTCCCCCTTCTTTGAGCCAATTAATTAATTTTTTCAAACAAATTTTAAAAATGGTTCCTGCAATTTATCAAATGTTACGAATTCAGTCCCTTTATATTTGAAAAGATGAAATACCATTATAGATTCAATCCCTAACGGCTGAATGCTAATGATGTTAGTAAAAATGGGCATCTTTGCAAGTTTTGCAAACCATAAGGACCATTTGCATCAAAAGAATTAGAGACTGACTTTGTGACTTTTAGCAAACTATGGATACCATTTTTATAATTTTGTCTTTATTAACTTAGTTTAGATCATATTTATCTTTTTATTTTATTTTTCTAGATTACCTAGTGTGCTTAATAAACATGTTGACTCCTATTAACTCATTTAAATTTCAATATTAAAAACTTGAACAAAATTAAAATATGTTACATATTCTAATAACTGCTCGAATAAAATTAAAAAGTAATTATAAACTTCATTAGTTGTTCAAGTTTTAAAATAATACAATCATGGTTGGATAAACACAAAAATAAAATAATTAAAATCTTAATTATTGAGTATTTAATATTTAAGAAATATAAAATAAAAATAAATATAATTTCTGAAACGGTTTGACAGACTGAAATCTATTTGGAAATTTAACACTAACCAAACTCATCTAATAAACGTGTTAAACATGCGTACTTATTACTAGGTTGGGTTGATAGGTTTCGTTGCTTTTTTTTTCCGGCGCTACAATAAAAGTTGTTATATCATGTATGTTATTTAAGTCATCGTTTCTAAAAATATGAAAAGTACTCATGAAGAAATAAGCGTCATAAAGCGTTGCCAACCTTTCAAGCACTTATGACCATTTTATGTTTTGTAGAGGGGATTCTCGTGATTATCGATTGAAGCCTAAAATGGGATTGTATTTCATCGGATTCACAAACCATGTTAGTGATTTGTCATCATCAATGTTATTTAAGTGTAATGAGATTACTCTGTTGACAAAAAGTGATCTTGATAAATATTAAACAAGTAAGGAAGGTGTTGAGTACACACTTGTTTAAATT